ATAAACATCTACACTTGTGTTGATAAACTCGATAAATTGTTCATTCCGGTAACACATATTTCCCCAATATAGAATCTTGATATCAGCTTTTAAATGAGTGAGTGAGTTTAGTTTTACGTTGCTTTTAGCACTATTCCAGCAATATCAAGGCGGCGGGTGCCACCATAAATGGGCTTCACATATTGTACCAATGGAGGGACGCGAACCCAGGTTTTCGGCATGAGCGAACACTTTAACCACTAGGCATCCTCACCGCCTCCCAGGATATAAACCCCTTGTAAACGTAACAAAATGTCCCATTTATTCAGCAATGATGAAACAGTGAGTAAAAAATAAATGTGACAATCCCCACCCATGTTTTCCTGTATACTATGCATGAAAGACTTATCAGTTCAATTCCAGATTATCAGAATATTGTTTTAAGGTTCACAAAACTTTCAAGTAAATTGAGACCAATGTCATTACTTTCAAACCTCATATCATAATCAAAGTAGCTTCTAAAATGGTATTCAAGCCTACTATGAATAACACCATTATATTAAGGAGTATGACAAGAATTCTGCACTTGGGAGCAGAGGCTACATGCCTGAAAGCCCTACTAGCACAAGCCTCACATGCCAGAGCTGAGCATGAGATCAATCAGGGTCTAACATCTGCTCACCATCAAAGATGCAGCAAACAAAATTCTCCCCTTATAAACATTGTCCTCTGTGTTTCTTTGTCTTTTTAACTCGAATTACTGCCACGTAAGGACATTCGGGTTTATGTTTTTAACCATTCAGAATCTTAACTTAAGCACAGCTTCATGCTCCAGGAATGGACCAGGAAGTGACCTGATTGAGATGGAGGAGAGTTGGGTAGTGATGGATGGGTGGTGCTGCTGCTGAGCAGTCCTGACTCAGCAGCATCTCTGGTGCTAGGTTCTACCTGGCCAGTGTATGATACAACACTAAGTAGTGGCTGCCTAACTTGTGCAAATTGTTCATAATCAATGTACTGCTGTGAAGCCCAGCTTGTAAACCTGAGCATGTGCCTAAGTCTGTTTCAAATTACTACTTCAATCTGATATTTTTTTATAAGTGACGTGAGTATGGTGAAAGAAGAACTTGGGAAACAACAGAATTTCTGAATTGCCTTTAATTAAAATAGTCATGGTAAACGGTACTGACAACTAACCTTGACATGTTCAAGATTATCAATATTAGCCATATAGCATGCACTGAAAATGAAAAACTTGTTCATGTTGAGTAAACACTATTACGCTACCAAACCAGCATTAATCAATTTAATGATCGTGAAGTTACATGCAATCTTTCACAATTATGAAGCCATTAATCAAAACAGCATGACAGTAATATTTGTTTTGAAAGAAATACAAAATACACACCTACAATGTAAACAAAGCCAAAGTTTAATTCAATGCTGAAAAGCAAGGTTATTTCTTACCTTGGCTATTGGTAATTAAGGTGTTCACAATATCATTTAAGTCATTTCCCCATTCAAGTCTGTTAACATAAATGAACCCTAAGATGGTCATAATAATCACCATTAATGACTTTTTCAAAAGAGAAAATGTGTAAACTGCAGGATGATGCAGTGAAAGTGCTTGAAGTACCTGCCTGCCCATCTTTCCTGCTGCTGATCTTGTCTCAAACTCTCAACTATGACTACCATTCGAATAATGAGTGCCACTTTGAACAGTACTCCTGTAATATCACAGATGGTCAGCTAAATTTTGGAGGTGAGGTGAGGTGAGGTGAGGTGAAATTGGGTTTAACGTCATGCTTGAGAATATTTCGCTCATATGACAATGGCATGCGTGTGTATGTGGATGTGAGGCTGCTTGTACTAGCCCAGACTTATGCTGGTTTTATAGGGCTAGCCCACTGAGATACCATGCCGCAGTGAAGCATGAATACCCCACTCAGACACATTATACTGACTCCGAGCCGACCAGTCCTTGTTGTACCCATTAATTCCGAACGCCAGGCAGGGACCAACAAGTACCATATTTTCACGTCTTTTGGTTTGATACGGTCGGGGATCGAACCCGCGACCTTCCGCACTCCGGGCGAATGCTTTAACCACTACACCACGGAGGCGGTCCAGCTGAATTTTGGAGGGACGACTGAAACCCACAAGCACGGCTAACATCAGAATCTAGCAGGATTAGAACCCAATATCATAGGGTTCCTACATGACCAAGGGATGCAACCCTGCTCAGCAAACTGCAGTGTTCAGACTACTGATGCCCTTCTGTTACGTGAGTGACTATTGTTTTACATCACTTTTACTTTAGCAATATTCAAGCAATATTACAGGGGACACAAAAATGGGCTTCACACATTGTACCCATGTGGGGAATCGTGCCCATGTCTTCTGCGTGACAGGCGAACACTTTAACCGCTAGGCTACAACACCAGCCAATCCCCCTAGTGGCCCCGATTCTGGCATAGACTGGATAGTTTATCCCTAACTTGACATGCCAGACATGGAAATATTGAATGAAATATCATTCATAAAAAGGATTAAACCCAGATGTACAATGAACATCTTTTCTTACCAGATAGTGTTACAGAACAAATGTGAATCTCAGTATGGATTTATCAACATGCTCTTTTCAGTGTTGCCTGCTTGTGCATGTTTCTGCTCAAGAAAGACAATTAAAAATCAACTGTCTGTACATTTGCCACTACACAAATTATGATATTTGCCACAACACAAATTATCAGATTTGCCAGTCCAGCCCACTGACTGCAATTTGTCAGAAATTTTACCACAGCAATGAGCATGTAAGTACCTTTCAGGTAATTAATTCAATTTAACACAAACTGTCAATCATGGGCTACTACTGACCTGAAAATGAAGCGCTAACCAACAACACACAATTACACGAATGCTTGGGTAAAGGTGTGTTCATAGCAGAAGTGCTGTTGGGAGTACAGCACACTAGTAAATGAACCATCGCCACCCAAGTCTTAAACTTAGAAACACTGCACTGCACTTCAGATTGAAACCCACAGAAGGAATCAATATTTACATGGGTCTTCCAATAAACCTACAACAAACAACAAGCAGCAAGATTTTTGAGATGATCCACTAATTAAGCACCTCCACGAAATGTCTGAATCCTGCCCCAGAAGAAAGTCAGGGGGTTAGTGCAGCCTGTTTCAAAGTGGTAATTTATGTGAAAGCTAGTTCCCGAGTAGAGTCGTGTTTATCTGGTAAATCTGGTACACACTGGACTATGTAAACTAACAGTTGTGACCTTGAGATTCCCCGGAGAAATAAGTATGCATGGGCGTATGTACACAACTGGTGTTCTTGTATCTCCTGAATTAGCACCAATCATACAGAAAAAGCAATGCTTCAAGCCAAGATGATAAAATTCTTCAAAGTCCCTTTTCTTGCCCAAACATTTCCAGCCACAAAAATCATAATCCACATTTTCAGAAATGAGCTTTCACTAAAATAGCCTTGGAAGCCACTTAAGGTGTGCACATTCATCACTTGAAGATGTCGTGACTGGCCTTGGTTAATTTTTTGTAATGAACAGCCATGTAGCTATATATACTTCTACGGTAACAGTTATTTTACCGAACACTTTTTCAAAATCATTAATAGACTAATACATCAAATATATATTTAAAAATGCATCTAATTTCTTACAAGAGAAAACCTTTCAAGAACATTGATCATAATGAAATTACTGGACTTGAATTTCAAAAGCAAAATAACTGTATCAAGCAACAATATTCAGACCAATCAGCAAGTAATCTTTATAAGCACCGGAAAGCCCAGGCTGCTTATTATGGTGATTACTGTAGATCTCTTTCCTAGCAACATGTTGGCAATGCTGTTGAACAAATAAATCATCAACACAAAATATACAAACAGTGTTATCCCCATAAGGTCATGAACTGGTGCTCCTGAGTATAGGGAAATGTCAGTTCTATGTTGACCGTCAGCTATTCTGATGGTGTGGCATTTAGTACCATGATAACATGAGAAATTTCTTAGCACTGCGGAAAATACCAACCCGCGGAAGGCCCAAAATGGGCAAAATGGCCACCAGACTGAAGAGATGACTTGTAAGTTGTTGCCAAATGTGCAAGCACGGACATGTGGCTAATTTCCGTATCTAGCTAAGCATGCTATGTCTCTACCCAAGATTAAACAAATCGTGAAAAGGTACTACGACTGGGAAGGGTAACTCTGGTATTCCGGTTGCGTGGGTCATTACAATAGGACCTGGGTACCCACAGGACGACCCTTACTGATGTTAGTTGCATATCATTTAATGAAAAAAATATACTTTAACGCCATGGTTAAACCACAAATTGCTGATGTTTGCATTTGGTCTTGATACTTATATACGTCTGAAATAAGATAAAGCTTTAGTTAACTTCAGTGTACACTTGACTAGTGTTTATGTGTATATAAAATGCTGGGGTCTGGTGAAATAATTCTCAATTGGATGTCTGCAGATCTACAGAAGGTAACTTGAGAGGTTCAGGTAATAATAAGTTTGGTACCCAGGTAGCAAATTCATATTTTTCTCAGTCCTATCAGGTATCAAGTAAGATATAAAATTAGTCATAGGGAACCTAATTCAAAGCAGACTATTTCTGATTAAAAAATCTATGTGGAATCATGGTTCTGTCAACAAGGAGAGTTGCTTGGAATAAGAAAATGACAATTCATAAAAACATATATTAAAACATTAATAAACTTACACTCTAACACTGTAAAGAATAATACAGTAAATGTCAACAACAAAAAGACTTAGACCCGTTCAGTAACTGTTTGTGTCAATGTTGTGTCTTGACATTATGAAGTCCGTCAATAAAAGACATACAACTGGCTAGCTTGTGAGATGTACAATCTCTTGCCAGAGGGAAGATACAGACCTACCCACTCCTGACATTTTAGGGTAACAACAACAGAGTGTGTTGGTGCAGATCCAGTCGATGTCAAAGGAAAAGCTTCACTATACTCACTGCATATCCCAGCTGAGCCAGACTGTTGAGAAATGTCCCCATCCAAGTTTCCTGACAACATGGTACCGGCTGTTGAACATGTCTCCAATCTTGACTGGGTGGTAGCCACCTACAAGAACAAATTTTATGAAGTCAATACCATATCTAGTAACTCAAAAGCAAGGCTTCTGACACTAGTGAAAGTTTTCCTCATCATGGTTGTGAAAAGTTCAAACTTTATAATGTGAGTGGCAGATCTTCAAATATCAATGCTTTGTTGAGCTAGTGACTTGGGCTTCACAGTATTTCACATTTTCAGCCAAAATGCAAGAGGAAGATCTAAGTGATGGTCAGAAATATTTACCAGTTTGGAAAAGCCCAAGTACATCACAAGTATCATGTGCTGACAAACCAAGTATCATAATAAGGGGCAAATATGGTATTCAAACTCATGATCACAGGATTCTGCCATGCCCAAGGGATAAAACTCTGCAGTGCCTGAGACAACTGGGCCTTATATGAACATGACAGAACAGGCGCGCCAAATCCACGAAGCGTTCCTCTGGCCAACTCTCATTCTTCAACATAGATTTTAGACTCGTGCAACAAACGCTTTGAGGATCAGGCCCGGACTTATAAGGCCACTGCCACAGGGGACAAATATTTCTCAAAAGTGTCCATGTCTGTGTGTATATGTGTTTTTCCATGGCAACCTGAACTGGCTTAAGCACTTGAACACTACATGCCCCTGTAGCACTCCTGCCAACCACAATGATTAACTCTAGCAGTACAAACTGAAGGCCCTTGTGATTTAGGAAACATGCCCATGTCCATGTTGACAGAGATGGGTCTGCAGGACTGAACCTTTTTGTAAAGAACACAAAAACACCAACTGCACTGTGTCACATGGACAGACGTCTTATTGATGGTACATTCCTCGATGTTTCAGAGAGCTGAAATTAATTACCCACAGAAACAGCAGAAAATACTGATGGCAAGATTACGAGCCACATGTTTTGGAACCTCAGCTTATTTTAAAAATAATTTGGAATGTCAAATTGACTTCCTCAGGAGGGTAACTTAAAATTGCATCTGAATTCTTTCAGGACTTCTTAATGAGATACCAGTGCAGGGACCAACAGCTTCTAGCTTTTTACAGAGAATGATCCAAATACCAGAAGTTAATGACAGATGACATGCGTCACAAGAACCTTCTAGTCAGGTGAACTATAAATCTCATTGAAATCAGACTGCCCCCTACAGCTACACAAGCCATGGTGCAGAAGTAGGGAACTAAGATATGATTAAAACGACACTGGGTGAACTATATAACAAAAGATTGGATGAGTTACAGTAATTATTTTTCTTGCCCTATATATATAAGACTTACATATACCAGGAATAAACCTGGCTCAGAAAAGATATGAGATAAAATCTCACATGGGACCAAAAACATGAGATTTTTTCAAATCTTATGAGATTTAACTGTTCATGATCGTTCACAAGAAAAGGAATAAACAACAAATAGGACATTGTCATATGTATTTAACTCTTTAAACACCAGTCAACCAGAGGCATTTACTACCATGACATCAAGTTCCCAGAGACTCTGAGGTCATAGATGAAGCCTATGTTTATCAAGGAAAATATCAGCTTGCAAAACATTATTGCTACTACATATCATACACCATTTGAAAGGTCTAATCCTACTGTGTATAAATATGAAATTTATTTTTATCATATTATTCAAATAATACACCTACAATGTAAATAAGTTAATATTTAATGAAAATGCAAGCTTACACATTCATAATGTCCAGTTAAACCACGATGGGAGCAAAAAATGCGGCGATTTTTTCCATTTGTAACATGTCATAATATCCCCTTACCTTTTTCTTTTATATTTTCATATTTACGTAATCGGAAAATTGTTATAAACAGATTTCTCAAATAATATGCATGGTCGTCTGTTTCCCGATACCAGTGGCTTTCCGCCCGGTAACGTGATACAACAGTGGGAAATGCCCCCCTTTTGGAAGCTTCGTACGAATAACATGTGAGGCAATTCGTTTGATGGCGGGTATCGTTCGAAAGCTCTGAACATCAACAATATCACTGCACCCTTGCCAAGAGTATTTTCGCAGTTGTAAGAAGCGATTTTATTGGATAAAAATTGGTTTCTAATGACGCTTTTCAGCCACAGTCTGCTATGAGGATCGTGATTGGTCAAAATAGGGCATGTGACCTAAGGCAGCCAATCATAAGACAGCAATGGGTACCATCCTCGTAAACGAAAACTTTTAGATTCAGAAAGTTTTGGGCAAAATCATGCTATTCTGAACGTGTTACGCAAAAAATCACCACATATATATTATGGAACTTAGTTGTCGTATCTGGCTAGGTTATGACCTGTGACAAAAAAGGTTCATGCATATATTTTAGCATTAAACATCGTGTCCGAGCGCTAAGTTTGAGGCGATGAAAGCCGAGATTTCACTTGAATTACATTACACGATCGCACAAAAAAGATGGAAATAGTAAGTTGTAATGCACGTTTGACAATTTTTATGAGTACTGTTGTTGATTTTATTCTTCTGTTTATTCAATTTGTTTAATTAAGTGTTTTCAGACATTGTTAAAAGTGACAGATTTAATAAATAAATCATACGTTAGTTAGGTTCCTAAAATTATATGATATATCATTTTGATGCGACTACTGCCTGGCCGGTTTACCGGCCTACGGTGTCTGGGGACTTGTGACGTCTTGGCCGGTTTTCCGGCCTACGGTGTTGAATGGGTTAATCAATTTCAAGTCGATGGTTTCGTTAGCAGATGCTTTTTGGGAGGCATGATGTTGCAGAACACAACTTCCAAACACGAACTCTGTACAGCGTCATACAGTGCATAAACAACACAGTACTGCGAGGTTCAGAGTTTACCATACTCCTTGCAGCGCATCTCGTTTTGTACAGCACTGTGTAACGATATTCGAAGTTCCATACCGGAAGTTATGTTTCGAAGATTAAAAATAGGTAGAAAGCAACGGGAATATCTTTGACAGAACAAAATAATGACAAAGCCTTTCTCAGTAAAATATATTTAAACACTTTATTATTTCTATTCGTACAGGTGAGCACGATGAGATTTTAAATCGCTGCAGATGATAAATTTGAGTGCGATTTTATAGCAATTGACGCGAGAAAATCGCGATATTGCGGCCCAAGTCAATCCCTGATATACATGTAGTCTCTTATTGTCAAAGTTTGCAATGGTTTGCATGCTTTGTGATTTGGTGTCCTGATCCACAGAACATTCGTAACATTACGACATTCGACATTTGTAAGACTATGATAAACTATAGAGTTACGACAGGACTTTGTGGATCTGGACCAGGTTTGTCATTTTTCTCTCCAATATATTCATGCGTCTGTCCATTCTGTTCACACTGAAAGCTACTAAAACACACATATGCACCACTGCCTGAAAAACAGCAAATATGGAAATTGAGTCATCTTGTAGTCAATTAATATCCATTCCATTGCAATTTCAGCATCAACACTAAGCCTTTGTCACTGGGCAACAGATGGTCTGAAGAGTTTGAGTGTGTCAGAATGAACTACAAACAAAAATTAACAATGAGCAAATTCCATCAACAAGCAGACACGATGTCTCATGAGCATTACATAAAAACATAAAACATTTGCTGGAGACAACTTAGTGAGTGATTTGGGGATAATTTCAGTTATATCACAGCATAACAGCTTGATATTGGAGGAAAGCCTTATGTGTCTAAGACAATAACCACATTGGTGAAACCCATAAGATGAGGTGAAATGGGGTTTAACGTCGTACTTAAGAATATTTCGCTCATATGACGACGTGCATGCATGTGTATGTGTGGCTGCTTGTACTAGCCCAGACTTAAGCTGGTTTATAGTGCTAGCTCACTGAGATACCATGCCGCAATCAACCATGAATACCCCACTCCGACACATTATGCCGACACCGAGCTGACCAGTCAATGTACCCATTAAGGCCGAGTGCCAGGCAGGGACCAACAAGTACCTTATTTTAACGTCTTTTGATATGACGCGGCCGGGGATCGAACCCGCAACCTTCCGCAAACCTTGTAAGAAACCTCGTAAGAGGCCTTGTAAGAGGCAACTAGTTCAGTGAAGAAAAAATCAATGCTGTTCAGTTTTTTCAACATTTCAAATCATCAAAAGGCACAGTTCACCAAGAGACTGGTATATATATATACCAACATATATGGACCAACATGCTGATTGCTACTGAACACTGACCTTCAATCTCAAACAACTCTGACCAAAACTTTTCAAGAAGGCCACCATCCTTTGGACAGTACAAATAAACTGTAATAGAACTACATTTATACTTTCTTGAGAAAGTTCAACCATAAACCAACAATAGAGATTGTTCAGCCTTGTGACCTTGAACTTTGACTTTATCAAAGCATATGAGGAAATATATTTTCATGGTCCATATGAAACAAATCCATCATAGTTTATCCTGTCAGAAATCTTTGCACCATATCCCAAGAAAGCATAATACAACTACACTGCACAACCGAGACATAAGACAACAACGACCTTGACATAAATACAACTGACACATGATAAGGTAAGATTTGTTAGACAGATGTCCTTTTATTAACTTCCAAAACTGTCAATGACACACGAAACCCAGAAGCATTACATTTAACATATCTAAACGAATTTTGTTTCAAATGGGTCCCATCCCATAGAAGGTACATACCAAGTTAAATGGGATGGCATAAAAATTAATGTATATGCAAGTCTTTTTCTATATGCTATTTTTTGCATATCCGGACCTAAACATTTGACCTTTGCACGACGTGTGCCAAAAGAATTACCCAGGGACACTTGGAAGAAGTCCATAGGTGAATTAACATCTGATGTCATCGTATCTGTGAAGGAAGCCTTAGATAAAAAACAACAACCTGGCAGTGGAAGTTTAGCAAAAGGCTCAAAGCCGCGACAAAATCACAACATGCTAAAAAAACATGATCACTAGTACTTTAACCTTGGAGAATATCATAGTTTCTAACAAGACATTTTGTCTCAGTGGGGTGAGAGGGGCTTGGGTGAGCAGTGATTGATCTGTATCAAGATGTATGTACACACCAGCTGCACAGGCAGGAGACCCTTCACTTGCTTCAACATTCACACACTGCCTGTGATGCAGAAATTGATCAGGGGTCTGTAGACAATTATTAGATTTGTCTACCTACCCTAAGGAAGGATTGCAAAATAGGTGAAGGGACAACTGGAATTGCCTTCCTTTGTTGGTGCAAATTGTCAGACGAGGTCGTTAAATGCAATGATTATTCAACTTGTATCTTGCCTGAAATGTGTAACTGAAGTCAGCCTGCTGTAGGTCATGTTGGAAGAAATTTGATTTTCAATCTGATTAGGAAGTAATTACATACACCTAGCATTTCTCAAATCACACTAATCACTGTGACTCAGTTGTAAAGTTGAATGGATTTCCATGACTGACGAAATGTTTTGCTGAACAGTTTATTAAAAAACAAATAGCAATTCATTGTTTCAAAATGTCTGCAACTCCTGTTACTCTGGAGTGAGAAAACATAATCCAAGTTGGATTCTAACAGGTCCAATATTCTTTTCAAGTGTAAGTAAATCTAAAAGATTTATTTCATAGATTGTGTAAGAAATATTTCATGTAGTAACTTGATGAATTTAACAGTGTGGTGCATTGTGCATAAAAAAGAATCAATAAATGAATCAACCTTATTGAATACCTCAGATTGCTGAAGTAATAAAAGCCCTAGATGCAGACTATATTTTTCATTCAAGAGGAAATACTATTGAATACACCTACACAAATCAAAAATATTATTTCTCCATAAATTGAAGAAGGAATAGCCACTGATAGGAAAGACCATCTCTGTATCTCCAGGGCCTGCAGTTGTTACATCTTTAAATTACCTGCCCCTGATTATCATTTGCCAATTTGATTTGCTACGCTACTCACTCAGACTGACCAATCAGAAGGCAAATTCCAGCTTCAATGGCCAGAGTAGAATAGAGTTTAGGAGAAATTCAACTTCAAGAAACAGATATGCAAAAGTAATCCCTCCCTCAAAGATCTTCCTGAAGGAAAGGATACCTTCATGTTCACAACAACTTGGAAAGGCATTGGTTTCTATGCACTACAAGTCACCTTTGTCACCCACTTCCACTTTCCTATCACATTTGATTGGTCAGTATAATGTTAATAAAAAATAAGGGTGGGTAATTTGAGATCATGAGAATCTCTGGGATGAATTAGTTTAGGTTCACCAAACTGCAATGCCAGGGAATACAAGCAAAAGTCACAGACACAAAGAGGTATGTTAATAGGTACAATCAGACACAGAACTGGACCGGTGAAGGTCCTAGTTAGAATTGGTCTTCAGCAACCCATGCTTGTCGGAAGAGGTGACCAACAGCATCGGGTGGTCAGGCTTGCTGACTTGGTTGACACATGTCATTGTATCCAAATTGCATGGGCCTATGCTCATGCAGCTGATCACTGGATTGTCAGGCCCAGATTCGATAATTTTCAAACTGCCTCCAAACAGCTGGAATATTGCTAAGTGTGGTGTTAAACAACAAGCAAACAAAACAGACATAGAACTGAATGGAGGTAAATTCATATAGAGAAATGAGGTTCATGACAAATGGTTTCCAAGAAAGGATGAAGTTTCATAAGGGTCATTTTTAGCTGACATGATCTGCTGAAGTAGATGAACATAAGACACGAGTACAGCATTTCGATAAACTAATCAGCTGTGTTGTCATGAATGACAAATAGACTTTGCCGAAGTTGCCATTTGCATATTCTGGTTTTAACATGCTTAAAACAACACCAAATATACATCAAAGGCTAAAATGTTTCAAAGAGATCTTCAGGAAGTGTTCTTCTAGTATTTAGACAAGAGCAATCTTTGACTCCAGCAGATTTTCCCTGGTGATGTAGATAAGACAGTACAAATATAGTGGGGAAAAAATCATCCAGGCAACACAATTGCTTACAGATTTCTTTTGAAGTTGTAAAACCTTGGCCTTTTCCCACTAATTTTAAACACACTTCAGGTTTTTATAATGTCAGAAGTTGAAATGTAACATATGTACAAAAGGAATAGGCAACTTGTCAAACACTTGTACTTGTCCATTATTTTTAAACCAATATTTCAAAGTTTTACTACAGTTCTAAAATTTGTCATTTTCGTTCAGATGAGCTCTGAATTCCCCAGAGTGACTGTGATTCCCCGATCCAATGTTCCAGCAGATATTTTCTTTGTTCTGCTTGTAGCTGTCTTAGTGAGTCAAATTAAATATGTTTGTTTTGTTTGTTTTATGCAAAATTCCAAAATTGTCAAGCCCTGTATAAAGCAAGAAAGAAATAGCCATACCACTGACTGAGAATATGAGTTTGGGTTTGTTTTTTATCAACGCGCACTCTGCAATATTCCAGCTATATGGAGGCTGTATTTAAATAATCAAGTCTGGACCAGACACTCCAGTGATCAACATCTCGTTAGTTTTTCTTTGGACAAGCATGGGTTGCTGAAGACAAATTCTAACCCTGATCTTCACAGGCAGAAAAAATGAGGACCTACCAATGTTAACGCGCAATAGACAAAGTCCCTAGATCAACTGCACAATCCTCCCACTTTATCCTTTCAAAAAGATCAAATTACAAGGTCTTGTATAGATTCCGGATGTATGTGCCACATGTCACCAATCCTCTGTACATAACTAGATATGAAGTCAATGATGTGATGCAGCAGAACACATACTTAACAAATCAGAATCAATACTTGTCCTGAAAAATTACCGTCATCCTGTTGAAAAATACTTCATTCAGAATTATCAAGCATGTATTTTCCGGTGCCACGAATTGGGTCACATCAGGTTGTGGAGTGACCTTCGGTTGAAACATATCTTATACCACTGTAGTCATAGAATCAATATTTGTTTTCAAGGGGGAAAATGTATGTATCTTGCTGAAGATGTGAAACCTACAGATGACTTTTCACCACCATTAAACACAAGTCCATAGATTTCAGAAATAGGCAGATAATAAACACTTATCCAAGACTCATTTTGCGAGCTAAGGTGAAATGGGGTTCAACGCCGCACTTAAGAATATTTCGCTCATATGACAACGTGCATGCATGTGTATGCGTGGCTGCTTGTATGTGTGGCGGCCGGGAATCGAACACATGACCTTCTGCTCTCAAGGCAGACATGCTAACCACTACACCACGGAGGTGGTCCTCACTTTGTGAAAAACTTAATAATTTTGATAGGATGGCTTGGATTATGAACACCGAAAAAAAAATCCACAATTGGGATGGTTGGCTGAAAATGGCGAGAATGACAGTCACCAGACAGTAAGGGGTCCAGTGCACGTGAGTAATAGAAATCTCGATTTAAGGGAGAGAGAGGTAAATAGTATAAGTCAGGATGAGGTTATTCATTTTCTTTTCTATTTCACAATGGCACAGACATAGGACCAGGCATATTTGTGATGACAAAACATTTTACCTTTGATATAGTCATGAGGGTCCTCCTGTTCATCATCATCGGATCCCAGGATCTCCTCCTCTTCTTCCTCCTCCCCATATGTCTCACATTTCTGGGAGGGATCAGACCTGCAATAGTCAGTAAGTGGGTGAAATTGGTGTTGTGCTCAATAAATCAAACAACCATGACTTGGTGACCTAATATAGATGCTGAACTGAAATAACAAATGGTAAACATAAATGCTAAGCTACGTTATCAGCATGTGTAGATGCAGTGGAAAGAAAAACATATACATTAAGTTTTCAGTTTGGGTGAACATATATAAAGTACACCTTGTTTGAACACATATGTTAGTTTCTATTTGGAATCTATGCATGAATCTGAATCAGCAAATGAGATATACCTCCTTGAATTCCTTGAACTCCTGCTGAACAATGTCAAGGAATTCAGCGATGTCTTCCATAAGCGAAAGAACAAAAACTTGTGCATCCCAATAGTATGGGCATTATTACAACAGTACTACCATAATATCACAACAGTGTTCTTCATGAATTCCGATTGTGGATATGCCAAAGATACTTCTCAATAGTGACGTATCAATATACACCACAATACACAATGTGTGATGATAGACTGCTTACATGAGTCTTGGCTAATGGAGTTAATAATGATTATTTGTTTTTTATATCCCAGTCAATATATATGCATGACAGCCTCTACATAACTAGGGAATTTGTTTGTTTGTTGTTCAATGCTGCATTCAGTAATATTGAACTTTATGGCGGCGGGCTGTAACCAGACAAGCCAGTGATCAACATCTTGAGCATCGATCTACGAAGCTGGGACGCAATGAAGTGTCAGTAAAGCCAACAAGCATGACCATCGGATTCCGTTAAACACCTCTTACAACAAAACATGGGTTGCTGAAGATCAATTCTAACCGGATCTTCACAGGTATTAAAGTATGGACATTATTACAACAGTACTGCCATAATATGACAATAGTGTACTTCACAACTTCCGATTGTGGATATGCATCAGATAGTAGTCAATGGAGACATATCAATATACACGATGATACACAATGTGTGATGATATACTGCTGACATGAGTCTTGACTAATGGAGTTACTGATGAGTGTTTGTTTTGTTTTATTCCACAGCCAGCTGTATGCCCGTCACCCTCATTAGGTCTGTGGTCTCTGACAAGATGTTTATAAGGACACATAACATTTTTGTAATAGAGTTGTCCCTTGTCTTATTCAGTGCATGCCACTTGAACATCACACATCAGCAATAATCCATCACATCCTCTAGTTATTAGTACTCCTATCTACACATCAACAAAGTCAAAGTATAGCTCTAAGTACTACACACATAAGAAACCATGGCAGAATATCAATCCCTTTCCCAGAGGCCATGAATGTACTTCAGCACACATCCTCTGCCATTTTGGTAACAGATGTGTACAAGCTCCTTTGTCAGTAAAAATCTCCATGTTTTTCAATCCTCAGTTTTTGCCATCTAGTTAAAATAACAAGGTATTTGGTCTGCTTGAATAAGAGTGCACCTACTCACACACCTAGCCAGCCAGCCAGCCAGCCAGCCAGCCAAATGGATTAATTAAATGCTTTTAAATACCAAAGTTAACACAAAGATTTTCTTTGTTGAAATGAGAAATCAATGGATATCACTGAGCAGCTTGTTCCCTGCTATCATGTAACTTCTACATGCATATACCGTCCATGTTGATGTTCAATTTTCAATGCTGATGGATTGCTGACATTCAATCTTCACGTGTTATAATATTCAACCATATAATGCATGCAGTCATTTTGGTCTGTCCATTTTGAGTTCATCATCATATAATGAAGCATACAACTGTATGGATATCACCTTCTTGCTTATTGTATAGTGTGAAGTTTCAGTGTAGACACTTTTCTTTCTTTTACTTTTTAGCTTGGCAACAGTGAATCTACACCGAAACATCACTTTATGCCATAAACAAGTTGATATACATTAAGTCATATGCTTCATTATTGACTGACTCACCAACTTCTAGAATGCCGATCAAACAATTCATCACCCAAGTTTTTAAATAAAAATACCTGTCATATATGGCTATATCAGCAGAATCAAACAAGTGAGTGAGTGAGTCAGTCAGTTGAGTTTTACGCAGCACTCAGCAATATTCCAGCTATATGGCGGCGGTCTGTAAATAATCAAGTCTGGACCAGACAATCCAGTGATCAACAGCATGAGCGTCAATGTGCGCAATTGGGAACCGATCCCGTTAGTCGCCTCTTACGACAAGCATGGGTTACTGGAGGCAAAATATTCTAACCCGGACCTTCACGGGTCAGAATCAAACACGAAGAGAAATAGGTGTCCAGTGACATGCATACACCCAACAGTTCCCAAAATGACACACATGTGTAGGGCTGTGTATTGGTGTATTTCAGAGCCTAAATTTTCAAAGCTTTCTTAGCACTAAGATAATCAAAAGTTAATGTTAATGTATGGCACTTACGATTATCTTAGCGCTAAGAGAGCTTCGAAAATCTAGGCCCAGGTATCCGCTATTGTGATACGTATTGCGATATATTGGGAACTTCTTCTGTGTTTGGCAATAAGTGACACTAATTGTACATGTCGATCCTTTTTTCTACATTATAGGATGGGTATTGCAGAGAATTTTCATATTGCGATATATTGTGACGCGAAAGCATATATTGCTATATGTATTTCAATATATTGCAATAAGCGTTTTTTAAACAAAAAATACCTAGTTATAATCGAGTGTAATCATAGTTTGAACTAGTTCCTCCACTCCAAAAAGCCCTGAGATTTTAGACAGCAACTTGACCTGGTCAGGACATATCAGAGATCACTGGTCATTTATGAGCAAATATTTAAAACATTCAGATCCAAAACGTGCAAAACTCTTGAACACAAATTAAGAACACAACTTAAAAACCGAACTTAACAATCCAGTTAAATGTAATTTTCACCATGATCATTCCCACCACCATTACCACAATTGCCACAATCATCAACCACACCAAGAAAAAAACGGAAATATACGAAAATTTCCGAGTGTTTTTAAGTTTTCCAAATGCATGTCAAAATGCCGATTTTCGATCAAAGTATAGCAATACGTATCGTTTTCATGTCTGAACCGGTAAACCGGTTATATTGCGCAGCCCTAATTATAGGTCCCTAAAAATATATGCTATAGTTCTGATAACAGCAATCTCAAAATTAGGTTGTACAGTCAGGGAGTCTATTTTCTTTTTTTATATAGTAGATCTATTACAGTATTCCGTTTTGTCATTGAACAACAAAGGAAAACATCAATTGTGAATGAAAATCGGTGTAGATTTTAATTCAAACTATAAAGATAATCACAAAAACTTCATACATGTTCTTTACCCAATATATCGGTTCTCAGAAAAGATATTACAAAACGTATCTTTTGAAAAGCGTATTGCGGTATATCTGCAATACCTAGACTAACGCTTAGTCTCTGAATATATAATTTTGATTGTAACAAATAAACCCATTTAAATTGAAAAGAAGCCCAAAGGAGACCAGAGATTCAGAACCTGAGGAAATCTAGACTTGCTTCATTTAGGGCTTTAGCACTGCAGAGAGGGCCAGGCAGTAGGGAAAATAATGTGGTTCAGGGACTGTGAGACAGACTACGGTAATACCGTGCAGTCCTACAAATGTGCACTAATGAGACATACACCTGATCATAACCACACTCACTCAGTAAACTGTCAGTGATTATCTCCCATACCCTCATTCTAAATAAAAACTTTCACAGCATAAACAAATTGATATGTTCATGCACAGCCAGCTGCCTGACAACAGTATCTCCAAATAAATTTTAAATGCAATCTTGCTGTACAAATACCAAGACCTTTAGATAATTCAATGTTCTGACTTGAGGCAGGGTGCCAGATGACGAAGATCGATTGACAAGCAAACTTTCGCTGGTCTGAAAATTAAGCAGATATAGACGCATATACATGTATATTACTCCACATAGCTGTGTGCTTAAGAGCTCTGCAAACTGCCGACTAAATCATAAACGGTTCTTTGATGAGTAATACATTTTCTAGGCCAAATGCAAAAAAGGTCCTCACCTATCAGGAAATGCCCTAAATCCTGCCAAGTCTTCCATTCTTAATCATGTTAAATACATAACTTGATCATTTCAACTCATAACACGTTCAGTTTGATAGCAGAAAAAAGCCTCAATCCTGTGTTCTTCAAACATACATCATCTTTCTCATGATGTAGTTTCACCTCTCAAACCTGACCATATATTTTCCTCTCCACAATCAATTTTAAACAAATTGGTTAAAAATTCTGTCAGTGAACAGATAGCTTGGCTAAATGATCTTATTGAAACAGTTAAAATACAAATAAGCTTAATCATGTAAATCCATTATCTTCACAATAAACCCATTTCCATGTTTTAAGACATCCCATCATCAGTCAACTGTAACTACAAATAGATATTCAATAAGCAGCACATGCATAATATGCACACCACGCCAACCACAATGCAGCCAGTTAGTCAGGTCAAGGTGACCTGTAGGTGACAGCTGAGGTCTATGAAAGACAATGATATTCAATCAAGGAACAGTTTGCCACAACCGTCTTCATGATCAGTGTACCTGACCGAGACATGTCTGGAATCATAAAGCAGACGCCACCCTATTTCAGTTGCTCAGTGTGTGGAGCTGAGGCAAACACGAGGCCATGAGGACAAACACACACACGCCGCTCACTACTGATGAATGGCAACGGGGAGCTTGGACAATCCTCTGCCCTGATGCAGATCACTGGCACGGCCATGATAAAGAAATTTGCAGATTTTCATCCTCACAATACTCACATGTCTCATTACCAAAAACACTGTAAGTAAGTTTAATTTCATGCCTCTTTTAACAATATTGCAGCAAACAGCACAGTAGGGCACACCAATGGGCTTCACACATTGAACCTATGTAGGGAATCAAACCAGGGACTTCAGTGTATGAAATAGCCACTGGCCTGCTGGCCCATGGCTAGTAAAAATCCAGTCGGAGCAATTCCCACCAGTCAATATCACTGGT